GCCTCCCCGGCCGGGCCTTCCCGCCACCTTCCCGCGCCTGGAGGCCTTGGGGCTCTCCCCGCTGCGCCCCCCGGAGCCATGTCCTCCGCCGCCCGCTTCGACTCCTCGGACCGCTCGAGCTGGTACGTGGGGCCGGTGTCGCGGGCAGAGGCGCAGACGCGACTGCAGGGGCAGCGTCACGGCATGTTTCTTGTGCGGGACTCATCCACCTGCCCGGGCGACTACGTGCTCTCCGTGTCCGAGAACTCGCGCGTCTCCCACTACATCATCAACTCCCTGCCCAACCGCCGCTTCAAGATCGGCGACCAAGAGTTCGAGCACCTGCCAGCGCTGCTCGAGTTCTACAAGATCCACTACCTGGACACCACCACCCTCATCGAGCCGGCGCCCAGGTGAGTCCCGCGCCCGCCTGGCCCTTGGCCCTCTGCCTTTCCCAGACCCGTGCGAGTTGCACTTCCAGGTGTCTACATCTGCATGAACACACGATGCTCTTCCAGGTGTAGACCACCTACACAAACACACACCCCTAAGGCATGAGCCTGTAGGCGCTAAGGCACTGTGAACATCGCTACCCACTGCTACCACACACAGTTTCTCTTGCCGTGGGTGTGGCCTTGCTTTGTATCAGCCTCCTCTTGCCGTTGTCCTTCTCTTCCTAGGCAGGTCCAGGACCCCGCTGAAAGCTCTCGCACACAGCGCTGGGGTACGGCCTCGGGGCTGGCTGTGACCACACGGGTCAGAACAGAGCGGGCCTTTGCGCTCCTAGACCACGCCACCCTGTTCAGTTAGTTCTCATGCATACTAGGACAGCGTTTCCCAGACTTCAACTTCGCTCCCCCCACAAAGAATGGAAAATGTTAATAATTATCTCACTTCAGTAGCGGGTCTGTATCTGCATATGCTACACCAAGAAATGCTATTCTAGGAGAATGGGAAAATATGACATAGCTATGAGCTGATTCTTTGTTCCCAGCACGGGACATACCTGCTGCTTCCATCACTAAACTATTTTAGATTTATTGATAAGCCCTCCCTTTTTTTTTTTTTTTTTTTTTACTTCTGGTTTTTATAAAACCTTTCTCAGCATCTTATTTTAAAGCTTTTCAACTTCCTATACATAATGCATTGAAAATAAAAGCTAGATAAATACCTGCATACAAAACAAAATTAGTTACCTGCTAAAAATTCTGCACTTTAAGATGTTCCTATCATTTGCAGATTAACCAATCTCTTAAGCAGGGAAAAATAAAAAATGGCTCAGCTTTTTAATCATAATTTAAGATTTTTTTAAACGTAACTTAATGAACAGTCATGAATGTGGGAAGTTGGCAATTTGACAAGATTTGTCAAATTCCAGAACTCAAATGGTCAAAATTCTCTTTTTTTGGCAAAACTGTCAAGTGATGCAAGGGATTTGACAAGATATTTGTTTCTAGAAGTCTTAGAGCTGTTACAAAGTCTGCAGCATTGCACTTCAGCTAGCAAAATGGATAAGGGAAGAATTCACTATCTTTCACAGTTACAAGGATACGTAATGGAGCTGCCTAGTATTACGTGCATGTTTAAACTTGTGGATGGTTGGAAGGAAGAAACCTACGTAAAAAACCTACATTGAAGCAATCCTTGTGCTTATCTCAACTCTTGTCTGACTATGGCTTTGCTTTTCTGAAAATAAGAACCTGTTCATAGTTATGTATGCCAATAATTTTTTTTGCTTTCACAACCCACTTAAGCTCGATGTCACTTATCTAAACCCAACTGGGTCACTTCCCATTTAAACACTTGTGTCAATCCTATTACGAACATTTCAGAACTACATCATTTCAAGCTTCTGATTGCGTGCAGGAATTGATGGTTTTCCCAGCATACACAGACAGATTTGGAAATTTGTCTACTCTGGACTGACAACCTTTTTAAACAGGGGGATTGATTTGACACTTTTGTTCAAAGAGTATAAAGAAAAAAATAATGCTATTAGAAGAACCATTGACATGGTTTAACATTCTGCTTAAAAGGCACTTCCGGCTTACAGAAGAACTAGGGGTAGCATTTCCTGATTTTGTTGCATGTTTTTTAAGGTAACGAAGTAAGCCTAAGAGGTGCAGGTATGTGCTTCAGAACTGTTATTGCCTTTTTTTTTTTTTTTTTTTGTATAAGTATTTGCTTTTTAAAAAGAGTTTTTTTTTCAGGTACTTGCCTTTTTGAAGGCTGTTTTTTGATACCATGAAAAACAGTATGAAGGGGTAATTCTCATGATGGATTTAACAAGTTTATAGCAATTTTAGCTGCAGGAGGTATTTTATGCTTACAAAACAGTTGTGAACAACACAGGGTTTCTGTTCAGCAGCAATAGTGAGTTTTGACCATCATTGCAGATGTGCCTCAGCTCTTGCTTGTGCTGAGTGACTGCTCTCAAGTTCCCTTCCCTCCCTCACCCTTCTTTGACTTCTGCAGGATACCTTGAAGCAGCAAATTATACTCCTGGTTAAGGTTTCTGGAATATATTTAAGTGATGGACATTTATCTGCAAAATATACTGGAAGCTAGCAGAAGAAATTTGAATTAGGCCAACTGCAGCCTTGCAATGCTTGCTGTTGTAAATAAGATAAGCTTATATGGGACAAAGCAGAAATATTTTGAAGATAACTATAAAAATTATAGTGAAAAGGTCAAAATAGTTTCATGTATTGAAGCTACTGCTATTCATGTAGCAATCTTGTATTCTCATAGTGAAGTGACAGTACTAGGCAAATCAAGGGCAAAGTGATAAGCAATGTTAATAAAGTAAAGGCTGTGTTGAGCTGAATAAAGCAAAGGATTTTTTTCTGGATTTTTAACTTTTTACTCTCTTCCTAGCAGTGGGTGCAATATTTTGTGTTGCATTTGCTAGGAAGATGTTACTTTTAGGTTACTGCGTATTTACATACATAAATTTAGAGGAGTCTCTTTCTGTTCAAATATAACAACCCCTTCAGAAAGCAAGTTGGCCACAAAATCCTGCATGTAGACTGTGGTGTTCCCCACCCCCAAAGGTAGGGAACTACTTACAGTACCAGAGGCAACACCAGACATCTAAGTTTTAGAAAACATTAACTAATACTTTATCATACTCTCCTCTAGCTTTTACTCCTTTTTCCACTATATTCCTTCAAGTCTGTCACTTAGTTAATGAATTCATAGGAGAAGTGGATACTGAGTTTTTTTTTTTTTTTTTTAAAAACACCACACACACATAAAAGAGCTATTTAGCTCTCTAAGTGTCTCTCTCCTCTAAAGGTCACTCAAGTCTCTTTCACTTATTTCCTGTATAAGTGATTATCAGCAATCCTCATTTTATGGCCCTGGGATCACTGGGTATTCTGCTACAAATGGGTAGTTAGTGGAAATATAAAACAGTAGCTATTGATAATACCAAATTTTCTTTTAAACTCAGGTATCCAAGTCCATCTATAGGATCTGGAACTGCTTCTACTCTATCTGCTGCAGAAGAAAATGTGGAGTATGTTCGGACTCTGTATGACTTTCTTGGGAATGATGCTGAGGATCTTCCATTTAAAAAGGGTGAGATACTGGTAATCGTGGAGAAGCCTGAAGAACAGTGGTGGAGTGCCAGAAACAAGGATGGTCGGATTGGAATGATTCCTGTTCCTTATGTAGAAAAGCTAGTCAGATCTTCTCTTGGGAAGCATGGAAACAGGAATTCCAACAGTTATGGTATTCCAGAACCTGCCCATGCTTATGCTCAGCCTCAGACCGCAAGTCCCCTTCCCACAGTATCCAGTACACCTGGAGCAGTGATCAATCCTCTGCCATCAACACAGAATGGACCAGTCTATGCCAAAGCTATCCAAAAAAGAGTACCCTGTGCTTATGACAAGACTGCGCTTGCTCTAGAGGTAAGTTCTGTCTTCTAAGTCTCAGAAATTAAAGTAATTGTTACTGGCTTGGCACAGATGACTACATATGGAGTCTGTATTTATGCTAAGGGACTAAGTTATTCTATTACCTTCTGAGTAAAGATCAACCAAAAAATGCTTCATCTATAACACCTCCCTTTAGAAAGGGGTCTAAGCCACTTCAGAATCTGTACTTAATTCATCCTATTTTCTTGCCTGTTGAACGATGTAAATATGCTGTAGGGATAGTGAGTAGAATTTATATATATACACACACACCTTAAGGAGCTGGGGGAGAAGTAAGTGCTAGTGAAAGGATGACTCTGCTTCTGTCCCTAATCTTGGGGAAAGAAAGGATGTTAATAGTTGCAGTATTCCAGGTTGAAAACTGGCAGCAGCATCCTTCAGAAAAAGGTAAGGATCGCTGGAAGATGTACTGTCTTTTTCTTGATCCTCAGGTGGAGTATGAAGTACAACCTAAGTGTCTGGTGACAAGAGCTGAAATCTGGACATGTCAAATATAAACAAGTGGGGATTAAAAAATGTTACTGGAGTACTCCCATTTACTTTGGCTTTCAAAAGTGGAATTTGAGAAACATTAAGAACTAAATTAGCTTTTTTTGTTGTTATTGTTAAGATGAATGGCTGCAGTGTAGCCTTTGTGTTGAGGCTTTAATAACTTCCTGTACTTGGAAACACCTTTTTCTTTTTTAGGGATGCATTAAAGCTTATTTTTAAGTAGTTAAGAATTTATAATAATTCTAGTTAAACTGATATTAAAAACTGTTTTCAGCAACATCTAGAACATTGAGACTATTTCAATTCTTTGATTATACCCAAGGCTGATTAAGCCATATTTCAGAAAGCATCTCACCTGATACAGTCCTATTGGCTATCATTCTCACAGATGAAATCCAAATGTGATAGAAAACTTCAAGCAGCAAACACAAGGAAACAAAGATGCTAGATGGTATTTTAATAAGTAAAGTGAAAATGCTTTTTTAGTAACAGTTAAAAAAAAAAAAAAAAAACACTCTTGAACTTTTCCTGCTGCTTTTGCTCAGCTAGTTTGCAAGTTAAAACTCTTATCTATAGGTAATATTTTTGTCTAGAGCTTGAACAGCCATATGAACATGCAGTTATTTATAAGAATTACCCTCACTCCCCTATTTATAAAACCTCTATAGCCGATTACTCTTATGATGTTAAAAGTTAAAAAACACATCACAAGATTATTCTTAGGTCTTAGGAAAGCTTGCAGTCTGTTACTTGTGAACAGGGTGTGAAGAGTCATCATAGGGTAAATTCAGTGCCAAATGCACTGTAGAGAAGATTCCTGCCAAAACTATTCATACCTCTGAAAACGTAAGTGTTTGATTTTGTTGTGGTATTAACATATCATGGAATACTTTAAGAAATTTGCTTTGCTGCACAGTAGCAGGCCACTTGGAGGGGTGACTCTTCACAAGCTGAATTTTTCTGGCTTACTAATTAGTTATGTAGTTAACTGTCATTTTAGGTACTCTCCTATGCTTTTTGGATTAACTGTGACCAACATCACGTAGACTTGAATTGTTGGCAAGTTTAAATTGCTGAAATTGTCTAAGAAATTGTTTTCTTCCCCTCCACGGAATTTTTCATTGCTTTTTGCCCCATGACTTTTCATCTCCCACCACTCCATGTAGTCCGTTTTCTTCACAGATTTACCTGGGTCATGCTGCAGCTTCTTAAAAGGCTTCAGAAGCTTCAGGGAACAGAGCTACTTTTTAATAGATGGTTGGTTACAGCTTCTCCATATTCATCCATGCATAGAGAACTTTAGCAATCTCATTATAGTAACATTTTTTTGCCTTTGTCATCTCTGCTACTCTTGAAGAACCTCATCCTCTTTTCATGATCTTAATTTGCTTGCCTAACGCTTCTTGGGCCCTGGTGATCTATTAATCCCAACTGTGTCACAGCTCTGCATGTCACTAAGCCTGAGCCATTTCAGGTCACAGATCAGCATTCTTGAAAATAGCACAGTTGACTTAACTTTCTAGTCTATTTTTTGTAAGAGCACTGAAAGCAGGTATTGGCAAGACGACAACAAGCTGTGGGAATGTTTGGGGAAGAAAGCTAATGGTGTTTTCAAAATAATCAAATTTCACAGTACTCTTCATTAATACAGGTGTACTTCAAATCACAGTTTAGCCACTACTGATGGAAAACTAGTGGTATAATCTAATTACACATTTATTGACTGTAACTTCACTTAAACTGATAAAACTATGAAAGCAAAATATTTGTTCACTGGCTTTATCTTTATGAGGTCAGCACACAAACAGTACTTAGAATATCATCTGGAATAAATAAGTCTATTGCACAGTAATCTGCTAGACATCCTTTTAAGTGGAAAAATGTTATTCTCCAGGGTTCAGCTTGAGAATGGGACATACTATTTGCTTGCAAGTCCTTTTTTTTTTCTATCACACAATTATTTAAGAAAAATAAAGATTCATAACATCTTACGGAGGAGGCTGGAAAGTGTAATTCAGTTATCATAAAAGAAGCTTTTTATGTGAAAACACATAGCTTTGTCAAAAGGGAGTAGGAAAACTGTTAAGATTTGTGTGGTTGAATGATTACTGAATGTTTACTTTTGAAATAGCATTTAAAAAGTGACAGTTTGAGGACAAAATATGTGAGTGTAGTTTTCCTGTAAGGATACAAGAATTGTTGGATGATCTGACATCTATTACACTTCGGACTTTATTGGACTAAAATTGTTCAGCATTCATAGTTATTTTACTGAAGTAATTAAAGTCTAGATGTTCATTGGGTGCTACTGCGTTAGATGCTGTATGTTTATTCTCCAAATTAGGGAATTTATAAAGCAACCTGTTCATAGGATAAAAATCTAGATTTTAAATAGCTACCATATCGAAGTACATAATTTTAGTGATTTACCCGTATTTACATGTATAACAACTGCCATATAGGATCTCCCTGCACTAGTGAATAATTAAATAAAGCCTGTGATAAGTTAATTGTATTAAGATTTGCATACTCTTCTTGTCAACTGACAAAGTTACCTTGCCAGTTCAATTTTTATTAATTGGATTAAATTTTGGAGTTTTACATTGCAACTTAGCTAAACATTATTACTAACATGCAGTACTTTCAAAGATACTGGACAAAAAAAATTCTTTTTTTTTTCTTCCCCTCCCTTCTGCTTCAGTCATTTGCTTCTAGCTAAAAGGCTAAAAGCTCCCTTCCTTCCTTTTTGGTCCAGTAGAAGAAGGAATATAAAAGACAGGAATACAATGTCCTGTATTTATTGGGACTCTACATTGCAGGGTTGTGTTAGGGTTGTGTTCTGCAGTTTTGATCCTTCTCTTTGGGAGAGCTAGCAATCCTACATTCAAAGGTTATAGAGGATACCTAAGAAAGTGATGAATTTTAAGAGCCAAGATTCCTTGTCACTGTTGCTATGCTACAAAGTGAAATCTACTTGGAATTTTCTGTTTAATAATTCTCTAATTCTGATGAGTGAATAAACTCATTTTTTAAAGTTTAGATTCAGGACATGGAACAACAAATTCAAAATAAAGTAAGTTAGTTTAAGGAACCAGAAGACAGGAGAATGGTGCAGCAGCAGCCTAGGTTTTTACCTGCTACGTGTTTAAATAATGGTTCTTACATATACTGCAAGTACTGTAACAGCAGCAGAACAGGCCATTTTAAATGCAGTAGTAGTGCTGGAATCCTTCTCCAGACTTAACATGACAGAATTTCTATTAGGAAAACTAAAATTCCATTTAAACAATCTTAAGACTTTTTATTGAGAGCATCATTTTTATAGCAAGATGATAATGGCTCTTTCAAGACTACCAGCATTATAGTACTAGTTTATTTATGCATATTGTATTAAATATTAACTTGTATTTGTTTGCTAGTATGGATTCATTGTGTCACTGAAAAGTTTTGGCAAAATAAATATCCATTCACCATAATTATATAACTGACTATTTCTCTTGAGCATGTTGCAATTAGGTTGCAATTAACTTTCTTTTGAAAAGAAAGTCAAGACAAGTAGGACAAAGTGTGCTAGGGGCAGAAATCTGTTAAGAAATTAGGCTACTTTTTCACTAGACAAACAACATTGCACTTTTACCAAGGAAATGTAGCATTGCTGTGTTAAACATTAAACTGTAGTAGAACTATATGATGAATGTTTTACCTAAAATCTAGACCCTGTGCTTGTATAGCTGGCAGTGTTGGTAATGGAGTTCTAGATCTGGTAATTACTGAATTGAAAGCAAAGCTGACAGCAGGATTCCTGTATCCTTGCTCTAGTGTGCACCAGTTTCTCAATATGCTCCCTTATTAAACACAGACAGTTCCTCTGGAGACTTCTGTGTGATCTTAATCTTCTTGCCATTTCCTTTCCTGGTCAACTTAAGTTATTTATAGTTCCCATCATGATGACACTTAGTTCCTCACAATTTAGTACACATTCACCCTCAATTCCGTTTGCACAGTTTGCTTTCCTAAGAAATTGAAGCACTAGGGCTTACTAAAGTTGCAAGAAATCCATGTCATAACAAGCAACTTAGTCCAGACATCAAGTTCCAAGTATTTGTCACCTCAAATTAGTCATTCTTTCTTTATACACAGTATGGATAACCTTGACAAGATCCCATGCTGCAAAGATTTAGTGGAGCTCAAGAACAATTGTCTGTGTTAATTTGTCAGTGTTGTGAATTCCCTGCAATCCTCACAGCATGGTTAGCAGGAGGAGACAGGCTACCATAATCTAACAAAAAGCAGTACTGTTTCCGTGGTGCTGCAACCCCAATTTTGGCAGTTGTCCTAGCTGTACTTGAACTGCAAACCTAGATTGTTTTTAGCCATTTTTGAATGAGCTGGATTAATTGGGTCTTTAGTGCTCTTGTGCTGTTCTTCTACCTGCCTTAGTGTTAAAGAATGGTTGAAAGTTTTTTCCCTTTGGTCTGAAGGGCTTGATCCTGAGGTTTGGGAATCAAGCCATTATTCTGGCTCACAGCATCAAAATGGAGGGATAATAAAGCTGAGCAAAGCTGTTTTATCAGCCTTTTCATATTTTTGAATTTGCCAACAGCTGAACACCTGCTACTTCAAAATGTCATTTTGTCATGTTTTCTGTACAACTGAGCTCTCCTACATTCTTTTGTTTGACTCGACCTTTTATCTGTTTGGGACCATTTAATTTCCAGTAGTTTTACTGTTGAACCCAGCTGTACTTTATTCTCCACAAGAACAGGCACCTAATTTGAACAGATAACTTGTTTATTTTTTAGTACTACTGCCAAAGAAAGTTAATTGTGACACTAGCCAGAAGGAAGGACTGAGGTTCAACTCTTAACAAATTCTATACAGCAATATGATTTCCATAGCTCTTGACCTGGTGGGCTAGAGGAATGATTTAGAGTCCTATGCATTTTTATCTCCTTGAACTTGCTTGAGAACTTAATCAACATTACAGCATAACATGCAATTGTTGTTGGAATATCCATAAAATTCAAGTAGGCTTGATTTGCTGTGGCTGACAGCACACCCTCTTCACAATGTACAAATCAGCTTCAGCTAGAAGAAAGGTATGGAAGAGTCTAGAGTGAATGAAGTAACCTTTTCTATTGGCATGTTCCACAGCTTGTATTTCCCCAGGGTTTTTGAATTCATGCTGCAACAGGGACATTATGAGAGGGTGCTATCTAAATATACATTTTGATGTTATCATTTGGGTGGAGCCAAATAGCTGCATTTCAGAAGGATTACTCATTTCAACACTTCATACTTCTATCCAGTGATGCTAGCATGGCATGCTTTACAAGTGAATTAACTTATCCAAGAGATGCTGAGACTAAGGAAATATCATGCTAATTTAGAGATAAGAACCATGAGCTGTCCAGAGTCATACAGGAAGCCTGTGGCAGAGATGAGAGCAGAATCAGGTCTTCTGACTGTGTCCTATGCCTAATCATAAGACAATCCTTCTGACTGCCTTAAAGTGTTCTCAAAAAAAGTGCTAGTTTTTAAGGGGAAATTACAGCTCAGACTGACAAAATTGTAGAGGCTTTAGGAAGGATTTATCAGGTACTGCTTTTCACTAGTGCATAAAAGCAGGGGGAAGGCACTTGGATTCTTTTAAGACACTGACAAAATACACATCTTTAAGATGAGATGTAAGATTTACTCTGTCATGACATCAAGGTTCCTTCCCATAATCTTGTTTCAACATTCTGCTTCACTGAGTCCCCTCAAGGCAACTGCCCTTTTTTTTTTTTTCTTTCTCTTCTTTTTTCTTTAAAGAAAAGGAGGGGCGGGGGGGGGGAGCCGAGCACC